TTTTGAAGCTACCACCCTGGAAGATCCAAGCCCAGAGCTCTAAACCTTAGCATTAATGCTTTTGTGTCCAGCTCTGGGATCACCTGGAGCTCAGGGCAGGAGACGCTCTTTAGTGCTGGAGCCACATCCATGCCCCTATCTTTCCTTCTGAAGGGAAATGGCTTCTGTTCCCTCTACCACAAAGAACTTGTGGTTTAGGGGAAAGGGTTTCTTTACAATACCAAATACCTAGAAAATAATCTCCCCATGAAAGTTTTTTTTTTTAAAGAATGGATTATGCAAAGTCTATAGCCAGGACACTCTAATTTGTTTCACAAGAGAATATAAATATATAACAATCTCTACTTGCAATTTATCCATGGAAAGTGGAGGAAAGAAAGCCCCCCAAAAAGCTAAGTAGCTACTTAGATGTAGCCATGGTCCTTCAATCTATAAACAGGAACAGTGATATTCACAAACTTTAGTGGCACCTTTGTGAAGAGAGATCTCCTTTAAACTTATAAATTGGTCAGTCAGTGGTGAATTTTACATGAGACTTTATATCACAGGCTTTTTATCCAGCTGGCAACAGGTAGTGACTAAAAAGAAAGTATAGGTCCCATGTCTCTAGTGTGACTCCATGGCTTTCCTATTAACCTGAAGTGTGATATGAGACAAGGCAACTAATCTTCTAAGCCTTTGTTTCCTCCTTACTAAAATGAGAATAATAATATTGTGCAGGTTCATGTAAGCATTAAACAGAGTGAGACTTATAAATTGCTTAGCATCATGCCTAGCACACATAGATATTCAGTAAATATTAGCTGCTGTCGTCATAGGATTCAATTTCCAAGGGAAAAATCAGATTGTATGTTAATGATTAGGAATTCTGAAAGCTCAAACTCATTGGTTTGATTCACCAGGCCTAAGCAGGTCTTTTGTTTTTATTTCAAGTGTTGGATAAGATTCTGTAATAGAGCTCTCAACCTATGCTGTACATTAGAATCCCATGGGCAATTCTAATCCCATGTAGATTTTAAAAACCACAATACCCACATTACAGGCCAGATTTAATTAATCAGAGTCTCTGAGGGAGGGAGCAAACCATCAGAATATTTTTAACGCTCCTCAGGTAATTTCAATGAGTAGCCAGGTAAAATTCTCATTTGCTTTAAAATTCGAACTGACTATGTGGTTGTATTAATGGTAGAAAAAAAGTGGAGAGGTAGGAGAAGACAAAACTCACATCAAAAATTTCAAGGGTTGCTGAAGTATGTCTCTTTTCCAAGTGTAAAAGAAGAAACTGTCTTCTACAAAATATTGGCCACCTCTCGAAATGCAAATTTTAAGCGTTTCTAAAAATTACCCAGCATAGTGGATGAAATGGAAAGGAAACAAATAGTACAGAATTGCTTCATCCTCTAAAACTGTTTTCACTTCTCATTGCTCTGTCACACTCTAAAGAGATCAGGAACTGAAAACCTGACTCATCTTCGTATGTGAAGCTGTGACACTAGAATACTGAGCCTCTCACCATTCGACTAGCCAATTCAGTGTTATCATATTCTTTGGCAAAACTAGATCATAAACTCAGCTACAGACTTTTTCTACAACAGAGTGCTTGTGTATGTGTGTGTGTGGGGGGGGGTGACTAATATATTTTAATCTATAAGATTTATATATACTGTTATCTTAATTTCTAAACTCCAAAACCACTCCTTAAATACACCATATAAGTCGAGTATATTTGTCATCCAAAAGAGTTTAGCTTCCAAGAAAGCTATTGCTCCATCGCATATGCCCACCTAATTTCCCTCTTCTCTCCATAATCAGAGAAATCCACCATCAATTCTTTTTCCTTACTCATCTGCCAAGTCTTTTCTCCATTCCCTATGCCAAGATTCTCTGGCATAAACACCTGTGGCTGCCAAACCTTTCTGCTATTGTCCTAACATAAGCAAATCGAATATGACTACTCTTCTCCCTCCCTGCAATTTGCTTTGTATATCCAGTTGCCAGATGCCAGCAAAGTACCAGGAAAGAAAGAAATAAAACATTCCTTCTTCTGGTGAAGTAGAATGGAGGAAAGAAGAAATAGCTTTATAACTCACAGGCTACCATTGTTAAGAAAGTCCCTGGAGCATTATAAAGAACTGTTTTCAAATGACTGATGTGATTTACTTCTGTTTACCTCTTTTCTATAAGCTGTGTGGAAGTGTTTGATCTTTATCAAGCATGTACAGTTCCTTTTCTTTTCATCTGACCCAAAAGTTGTGTTTTTCCCTAAACATCTAAGGAATCAGACAAGAGCTGGTATAACAGTTTGAAATCACTGGTCAACATATAAAGACGCATCAGCTTTCCAGTGTTTGGGACATAGTTCTGAAGACCTTTGCTCTAATACAGATAAACTGGATGTAGCACATGGTGAGCGCCACGCTAGCGTCAAGGGAGTTGGAATCTGTGTCTTGACTCCACCACTAAACAGCCCTGGGAACTTGGGCAAGTCACCTAACTTCTCTGCATCTCCTTGTCCTCATTGGTAAAATGGAGATAATAACTAATACTGTGGGGCACTTAAGCAAACACTGTTTTAAGTAACTTACATGTTTTACTTCCTGTCATCCTCCCAATAACCCGAAGAAGTAGATATTGTTGTTATTACCATGCCCATTTTAAAGATGTAGAAACCGAGGCACATAGAGGTTAGTTTTCTTACCTGTGATCCCAGAGCTATATATGGAGGCCAGATTCAAACCCAGACAGTCCAATGGCCAGAACCCATGCTCTGTTGTGTACCCTGTCTCACTGAATTGTGATAGTTAAATCAGATTGAGTATTTGGAAGTAAATGTAACATGTTGTTACTAACCTTCCTGAAGTTCACTTCCTCATTTGCCAAAAAGACAATACTTATGTTTCAGAGTTTTTGCTAGGAAAAAACATGTGCAAGAAGAGTGAGATTTTGCTACCTACCTTCTACCACCACTACCACACACAAAACAAAACACGTTTCGCTTTTAAATCTTAAGAAATTGCATATGATCTAAGCCTGTCCACTGCTACAATGTTAAACTAACATCATTTTCCCCTTTTGCTTCTTACAGATTTTTGCATATATGAATGAAACCTCTTCCCGAAAAGAAAAGTGGGACCTCCAAGCTCTTAGATTTTTATCAATTAATTCAATAATTGACCCTTGGGTCTTTGCCATCCTTAGGCCCTCTGTTCTGAGACTAATGCGTTCAGTCCTCTGTTGTCGAGTTTCATTAAGAACACAAGATGCAACACAGACTTCCTGCTCTACACGGTCAAATGCCAGTAAATAGACTGACCTTTGTGGACAATAGCTAAGTGCTTAGTTAGCCAGCATCTGGAAGATCATTTTGAACTGGTTCCTTGGAGAAATGAAAAAAGTTAGTTTATAAACAAAATGAAGCTACCCTAATAAAAGAGAGTAAACAAACATTTTAGCAGTGGTTTAGGCTACAGATGTGCTGACAAGGCACTTCTTGGAAGGTGTCAGAAAGATCTATAAAACCTACCCTCAATGAGCATGTTACATGGCCTTCAGAGGAACAATAAACTGCATTTAAGATCCAGTTGCCTTTTGATTTAAACTTTCCTGTTGAATGAGAAAGCATGTGGTTTTGTAATTTGTTTAAAACCCTAAATAGTTACTGTGTATTTTCTATTTTAATCTTCTCTGTTACTACTGTTATAAACACACAGTGTGCAAAGACCCAGATAAAACTTCGTATTCTCCAGGAAGTCGTTATGTGGAAGCAACCAAGCCTGGTGTTTTGTGATTGCTTAACGGACTCTTTCTTTGGACAATGACTTTGAAAATCACAGGCACTTTGTACTATAATGTTTGTGTATGTGGAAGTACTCTCTCATCACTACAGTATTACTCGTAAAAGAGTAGGCTCAGTTGGTTAATGTAGGTTTTTTAACTAGTTCTCCAGAAACTGTGTGTCAAAATGTCAGGTTGTTTATTTTGTAATGTTCATCAAGAAAACTTTAGGAATTTTCCTCTCAAAAAGAAAAAATAGGCTATTAAGAGAGTTAATTCTGATTACTACTCTTTATTCTGTGGCTATGTCTGAAGCCACATAATAGGATTAAAAACTGAAAAATCTGGTCAATTCTTCAGATACACTGGAACCTTTTTAACGCTGATGTTGAGGCCATGACTAACATCTACTTTATAAGATGATTGTGTTGTAGCAAAATTCATCTGTCTGTATTTTTCTACAGGAAACATAGTTTGACTCATACTACATTGGAAATCATGTAACAGTGAGTCATATCTTATTATATTTATAAATCTAAATGTTTGGCATGGTATAAACTCAGCATCAAAATATTTCAGTGAATTTGCACTGTTTAAGCATATCTTATTTACTGTGTAAACTCATCTGAAATGTTATAAAAATAAACTATAAAACAAAAATTTGAAAATGGAATAGTATTTGATGAATTTCCCCAAATAACATTTTATAGTTAGTGCAGACATAATTTTTTTAAATAAGATAAAAGTGGAAAAATTATATATTATTTTGGCAAGTTTTTGAAGTATGGTTGCATTGTCAATTAGAGTTTAAAATATTCAATATAGTACTTGATATTAGAGGATTTTTTCTTTCCAACATGATGTTCAAAATAATAGAACCATCTTAATTTTTAATGAATGTTATTACAGGATAGCTATTATAAAGAAAAACAAAAGAGATGTTAATTTTTTCCAAAGTCTCATTGAGTTGCTTACGTAAAACCATGTCTTATAAGTAGTTATCAAACTAGATGATCACTTAGAGTTTTTCAAACTATTCTAGTCATCAGTGTATTTTGACACAATCTATTTCAAATCAGCTCTTATTTTAAAAAGAATAAATTAATGGTTTGCTTTTTTACTAATTTAAACAAACCAGGCAAAATTTAACTTAACTAAAATCTTGACATGCAAATAAATCTTCCCTGTCCACCGAGTATTCTAAAGTTAAGAAATTGTTCTAAATAGAACTAATTAGGCTCATGGGTAATTCTTAAACATAAAATTCTAAAGTTACTTTGAATCTGGAAGATTGATTTCTTTTATCAGATAACTTTTTTTCTTTAAATGCAAATGTTAACTACCCCACATCACCACCCCCAAAATTCTGGAATAATGCCTGATAACTTAAAAAAATAATAATAAACTTAGACATAATATCGCTAGTGGGAACAAAATGATTCACTCTGGGGGCTTAAAATACAGCAGTTTATTTAAGAACTGGTAGATTCCTAGAGCTTTGTTTACTATTGTTCTTTGCACTGTTAAATGACTATATCCTATTATTTTGTTTGCACTGATATATACATAGATGAAATTGAAGGTAAAAATCCTATGTAATCGTCAATCGACTATTATTAATGGTAATTTAAAGATAACAGAAAAAATTAGATATGTAAATATTTTCTTTCTAAAAATCCCTTTCATCTGACATACTTGTTGAAGTTTACTGAGTCATTTTGAAGTTAAATAAAAAACACAGAATTTAGTCTGATATATTAGAGAATAGAACCATGATGAAAGAAGACCTAGATTTCATTCTTTGCCCTCGACAGTTAGTGGAATGAAAAGGGAGAAAGCAATTGATTCAGCTCAAAATGCCAGCCCTAACTTTAGGTGTCCAGAAATGGGATGAGCCAAAGCAATCTAATCTGAGCTGAATTATTCCTGGATGGCCCCAGGTCGTCTTTCCCAAGAGAGTACTGGGAAATTCTGGTACTAAACTGTGGCCTTGAATCTCTAAAGATCTGATAGGGACCTGAGTTTGTTTAGATGCTATAGAAAGCCTCCAAAGATCTAAACTCAAAATGGTTTGGACCCATGACAGCCTAAAGCCAGACCAATGCTCTAAAAACAGCACTAACCCAAAACAGCCATGCTGGCAGAGGCCGCAAGACCTGAGCAGCGGGGAGGGCAAAACCAGCCCATGTCATTACATTCTCATTGGAACTCAGTTAAACTTGGTGCATCTGCCTGTTCATATCAGTGCATGGTGAAGGTGTTGTCTTAATGTTTATGCAATGTCAGCTCTGATTTGAATCAAGAAAAAACATATTTAGGCTTAGAATTTAACGTATTTGAAAGGCAAGGGAAGACAATTAACTTGCACTTAAGCAGAACTTTATTTCACTTTGCCAGATCTAATGGCTTGAGCCAAATTTAATGGTTTTCTGAATTTGAGAAGAGCCTCTACTTGAGCCGTTCACAGACTGAGAAGCTGTCTTGTTTGCAAAAGTGATTTATATATGTGGACTTACAATGCCTACTCATGAAAGCAGTGTTGCAACTTGAATATTTGATGACTATCTTCCATCTTCATTAAATGCTTAACTCCATTGGATTTCCTCTCTGAGTGCACATTTATAACATACCTCCAATCACTAACAGCATTATAATTTCTTTAATTTACAAAGCATTTTGATCACCTGAAATATACTATGGAAATAAATATTGTTTTAACAACTTGCAAAAGCTATAGTCTAATTTATACATGGGCCCAAGGCCATGCACTGGGCATTAGTTTTTATTTCAGAAAGTTAACTCTTTGTTTTTCTGGTAGATTTTGTGATTTGTTTTTTATTGTAAGTAAATTTTCTTGAGTTATTTTTTTATTTCCTATAAAATGTACATACTATTAAAGCTCAGTTTGGGTGGTTTAATTCTGTGATCCATGTGTTTTATTTTTAAAAATCTGCCAAGAGTCAAATATATCCATGAGGATTCCAGCAGAAAGAGATTGTACACTCAAAAGAGAAACTGAGGACTGTTGAATGAAAGGAATATTTACAGAGCGGTAGACAAGGTTTAGGGAATCAACAAGGATGGTTAAGGATCCCTTGGAAGCTGTCCCCACTCCTAGGCTGCAAAGCACAAGGGCAGAGCAGTCACTGGAAATGAGTGAGGGCTGTGGAGATGCCACCCAGCAGGAGCTATGGCCTTAAGTAGGGAAGCATAGCTGCTGCCAAATCACAGAGAAGGAATGAGGGGTCTACCTTCCTGGTGGACCTCCCCTCTTCCTCTCTACTCTTCTGCCTGTTCCTCCTATTGGCCAAACCCAACTGTAATCCAGAGAGTCAGGGTAACCTGGGCGATGCAGTCCATGAAGCCTGTAGTACAGCTGAAGAGTAGAGGGGCAGATGGAGAATATCCAGCATAAGTAGATTGAAAATGTTCTTTTTTTAATTACACCAACACAAAAATTGAAACCATGAAGTAGTTTCTACTTAAAGTGATATTCTCTAGCAAGTTTGGGTATTAGAAATCAGCCCCATCTGTATGGAAAAGGGTAAAAAATACTATAGATTCCTTTATCAAAATATTTGTCCTTGACTCTACAGCCTGAGGGTCAGTGTTTACATCTGTCCAACTCTGGAGACAATTGATATAATCAGAGAAGAGAAAGGGGATCAGACCGACCATCTTTTTTTCCTCTAACCACAGCAGTACAGCATAACAGCTATTTCTAAGCAGAACAAAGGATGATAGTTATGTATACTGGTCTAGAAATGAACTGAAGCTTTATTTTTAAGAAGGACCACTAATGTGAGAAAAAGCTCACTTAAGATGCTGAGGGTGGGCCGTATCCCCAAATTTAACACAAGCTGAGATAGGTCTATACAGCTGTTATAAAGAAAGAGTATATGTAGCAACTCAGCAATTCCGTATAGTTTAAAATACTGATTAAAAAAATACCAGAAAAAAAGCAAATTTTAACAAAATAGAAAAAGATTAGCCAAGGCCATCTGTCCATGTTGCCTTTTCAGCTAACACAGGATTCATTTTTACTTCTTTACTCACCCCCTTACAGAGCACCCTTTTCCTAGCATAGACTGCCCCCTCTCCCCGCTACCACTAGTCCTGATGTCTTTGATGCATTAATTCAATCTTTCCCCTTTCAGTAAATTCTAGATTTATCAGGGGGATATTAAAGACTTGTCAGACTCCTAGAGTTTTCTCAGTCAAGTTATTTAAACTTTCTGATTCTTGGTTTCCTCATCTCTAAAACGAGAATAAAAAAATTATCCATCTCCTCAATTGTTTTGAGAATTAAATGAGTAAATGCATGCAGGATGCTCAGCACGATGCCTGGACGTGGTACATGCTAATAAGGTCAGGGATTAGTATTATCTTAGATGTCTGGTTTAGTGGCCCCTCTGACCTCACACACCTCTGACTCAGATTGCTCATTCTTGGTGGGGGTCATGATGCTAAGTGTCGTGGTATCTATTTGGTAACTCTAGATAACTGTCAAGAAAGATGATGACAATAAGCATGTGGGACAAGTTTGTATTTCAGAAAATGAAGTGAAGATTAGCACACATGGGAAAATGTAGAGAAACGTATAAGCGTGGAAGAGAGGAATCCAAGAGAGACGGACAACAGGATGTAAAACATGTTTTCTCAATGGAGACAG